TCTGTGTCTGTGTCTGTGTCTGTGTCTGTGTCTGTGTCTGTGTCTGTGTCTGTCCGTCTATCTATCTATCTATCTTTCTTTCTTTCTTTCTTATCTATCTTTCTTATCTATCTATCCTATCTATCCTATCCTATTTATCCTATCCTATCCTATCTATGTATATGCTGGCAACATCTTGCACCATTTCGGTGTGGGAGTCGGGCTGTTGGTAGGTTCAGTGTTTGCGAAGTCGGATGAACGAAGCCCTACCTGTTGGCCCTGGAAATCCAGGAATGCCTCTCACAGCAGGCTGCTTTGAAAGAAGATGTGCAACACTTAGAAACTTCGTTGGAGCAGGTGCGTTTGGCTCAAAGGATGCACAGAAAACAACACCCGGGAGGACACACAGTCAGCACCCAAATCCCCAATGGTTCATGGTGGGTTGACATCCGAAGTGCATTTTGTTCAGGGCCAGCCAATGCATTTTCAAGCAATCCCACATATGAGTCATGATAGGAGACAGATATGGGTGGAGCAATACTCATGTGCTCATGTGGTAGGAAAAGTAACTGCAGTTGACGAAAAGGCATCTTGCACCACCTCACAGTTCAGTAAATACCGTGATTTTGGTATTTGACGTGGTGCAGAACTTCTTCCTTTCACAGTAGGGCGCCACCGGGTTGATTGATGTTGGTGTGTTCCCCATCCATTTTTCCCGCTTAGACCACTGGGAGTTTCGTTAGTGGAGCATATTTACGTTCCAGCTAGCACTGACCTGCTTGAGGGCGTTTCTCAGGAGTGAAAAGGGGGGTTTTACCCTCTGACTCGCTAACATAGAAATGGAAAACCACCGGTTTGGTAACAATGGTCTTTCCAGTGGCCATGTCATCCACTTCCATGTTCGGAGCGACACCCGCCTCCAGGTGAGCTCTGAGCTCAAGGACGCTCAGATGGTCTCCATGCTCAACAGCATGAAGCGCTTGCGCGACATTGAACTCCGCGGCAACGTGAAGGTGAGCCGAAGAATCGGTGGTGGCACAGGAAAGGATTGGGACTTGAGTGAGCTGTTCTGTTTGAGCCACATTATTTGTTATTTCCACCAGGGGTTCAGCTTGGAGGGCATTTGTTCATGGCCTTTTGTTGGACGTGCAGCGGTCCTTTTTTGGGGTGGACACCCATCCATGCACCCTTCCTTCACTGGAGGAGGGGTAGCAGGTGGCTGGATGTTTGTTTCCTGTTTTCATACATATCTGTGGGTCATGGCACCTGGCTACCTTGGTTGACCTACCGGCGAGTCAGTTGCGGACTCCGTCTGGTTCCGTGTCCCAGTCTGCCCTTCAACGATTGGTTGGGTGCTTGGGATGGGGGTGCTTGGTTGACCTGGAAGGTTGTTGCTACATGGCGTTGGGGGGCTCCAGGTTTTGACCCTAGCTGTAGATTTTAAAACAGGAGGGGAGGGACAAATGGACCCGAGGGACAGCTAAAGATCATTTTAAACAGGTGCGAATCCCCGGACAAAACCTGGACTGTTTTGACTGAGACTAAGGTTCGACGGACCAAATACCTGGTCGACCTTTCTTTGACACCCCTGGTATGGATGGTCGCCGGGGGGCTGGAATCTATGACTTTTTGCCCAATCTCGCAAAAGGGACAAAGGCTGAAAAGGTCCTTCTTCATGGTGCTTGTCGCAGCAAACTAATTATCGTATATCATCGTGTTTGAGGTGTACCAGCCATGCCATGTGGGAATGGACCATCTACACCTAGGACCTGAAAGCTTGGAGCCAAGCTTCTTTTTTTCAAGCCAGCTTCTTCTATTCGCACAGGTGGACCGTCAAAGTGGAAGAATCACAGCCGTAAAGGCCTTGGACTTCCTACCGGCTGCGCCGCCCAAAGAGAAAGGCCCCTTCCCCGAGACTTGGCAAAGCAGAGGAGGGGAGGGACTTGCCCGAAGCGATTCGTGGCCAACAGTGTGGCAATGGAGGAGCACGAAAATCATGAACCCCCGTTCCCTCGCAGAAAAAAGACAATTATTTTTGCAGGTCTCTAGGTACCTGAGACTCGCAATGCATGTTTTGCCGGTTCTTGCTGTGGTCTATGAACCTTAGGTAACCTTGGGCTGTCCCAGCCAGTGATGGGGCGGTCGCAACATACCGAGGACTACTGAATGTTTCCGTGGTGCATTGTGAATAGTGGAGTAAGCTGAAAGTGGGTCTCGAGACACTTGGTGACTTGGCCAGCCTAGGTGACCTTTGCAAGTGAGACAGAGGCAGAGAAAGTTCTTGCAGATCTCTTGGAAGTTGTCATGATGTTCGATGCACCCCTGCAAATCACTGTGGGTTGCAAGCAGGGACGGGGTGATGCCGGCATGTGGCAAGAGATGGTAACGAAGCGCGCCAGCCTTGTGAAGGAACATTTGGTGAGGTGTGGTCGAAGCGAGGCGGGTTGATCTCCGCTCCACTTCCAGCATCGAATCGATTGTTCTGAGATTTCCCCCTTGCTAAATGACATTTGACTTGCACTTTCTCCAAACTGCTTGCTGCGAGGGTCCAATTGTTTTGACTACAGGGAGGTGGTTTCACTGTGGATTCACTTGCCATGGCACCCTTTTTCATGTCTCCTTTGTTTCCTTCTAGGAGGACATTAGCATCACCGGATCCATGGTCGCGCCAGAGTTCTATGCTCAGCTGCAAGACACCAAGATCTTCCCCCCAGCGCCACCACCTCCACTGCCCAACAAGGGCCGATCGAAATCACCGAACAGGAGGAGGTGACTGTCTGATGTGACATTTCAGCTGAAAGCTGGTGTTGCTTTTCACCTGTCGATTCTAGTGAGTTCATCATTATTTTAACGGAAGTGTTCGTGGCACCAATCTCAACAGCTTCCGCCCATTTTCAATGTCTTGGCAAGAGGCACTGTGTCACCTAGGACCTAGGATGGAGCTTTGGATCCCTAGGCACCCCAGACCTAGATTCCCGCTGTGAAGCCAAGAAGACGAGCAGAGGGAAAAGTCGCTGGAACCACGAGTCTCATCCTCCTTCCATCTCCTTCCCAAAATCACTCCAGAAATGGGTCAACCATCCCGAAATGTTCGGAATCTGAAATGGTGAAACCCTCTGAACCCGGTTGCTTGACTTCTGGCTCGACGCTGGTCCGCTCGCGCCCACCCCGTGAAAGCAGCGGTGCTGGGCGGGGCGGTTCGGACGGGGGCCCCGCCCCCCCGATGGCGCGAATCGTTCGCGCCATGGATGTCAGAGCTTCTTTTTGGCCAGTTCTCGAGGCAGGGAAGTATCTTCCACGAGAAAACATCACAACTGGCAGGCCGGGCAGTTGGCAGTCCCTTTTCTTCGGTGTCTCTTTTGGATCACCTGCGTCAAGTGCCAACACTTTCCAGCCCCCTGCCGAGCAGCCTCCTGACTTCCATACAAATAAGTATGTTTTGACCAGGCTTCATCGTGCTGGCTGTGGAGGCTTTGGCCGAGCATCCCTCTCCAGCGAGTGGGCAAACACATTGACGAGGGCATGTGTTGCACTGGCCACATTCTCACGAGCTGCTGGCATCGTTCGAGGAGCCAAGCTATTTGTGGACCATGGATGTTGATGAACACCAAACGAGCTTTTGCCGGTCTGAATGTCGGTTTTCACTGCATGCACTTTTCGTTAGAGCCCCTTAGTCACGATGGTCACGACCCGATGCATAGAGCTAGAGTCTTGCTATGAGCCATACTTCCTAGATGTTGTTGAAGGCATTCTTTTCCCTAGTAAGGCAGCGGCATAGTTGACCCAGTGGTTGACCCATGGAACTTTGGAGTCGCACACCTTGTCTTCGATGTTGTTCGTGGTCCCCACAAGCCCCCATCCACACCAGCCATCTGCAGAGCGTGGCGGCCGGCCGCGCGGCCGCGTGACGACGCGTGGCACGCGGATCTTTGTGCCCGCCAAGGCGGGGGGGTTGACATCTGGGGTGACAGTAGTATGAGTGAGTCTGGGTTGCACCTCAGGAAAAAAACATTGAAACATTCAGCCTCTTAGATACTTATGGGACTGTATGGGACTGTCGCAGTCATTTAGCACACTGGAAGAAATGACTCAGATCCATCACTGCTGTAGATTCGGGTGCCACGCGGAACCCGCAAAAAGCGCCGCCGTGATTGTTTCTCGAGGCTGTGGACGAGGTCGTGAAGGAAGAGCAGTGGAAGTCGATCGAGGTGGAACACTTGGGCGACAAAGGCTTTGGGATGGCCACTCGGTCCGCCTTCGAACACCCTCGTGGGTCTGTCCGAGCTTTGGAGCAGCTCTGCGGGGCTCCTGTCGGCCGAGCCCCTGGAGCTGAAGAGCTCAAGGAAGAAGCCCCAAATGGGTTCCAGATTGGAATTTGAGTCCATGGGGAGTCCATTTTTGAGGGGTTTGGTCGCCAGTTTGCTTTGGGGGAGGTTGGTGGTGTTGGTTGATCCTTTGGCTGGAAAGAGGCAGCTTTTGGTGGTTGTTTTCCTGTGGTTGCAGTGCTTTTGCAGTCTTCTTGGACCGCGAAAAGGGTGCGATTGAGGCGATTGAGGGATGCAAATCGACCTGGCGCCCCCCCAGCCCCGAAGGAAAGCACGCCGAGTAGCTTCTAGCTAAATGCCCTTGTTCCTAGTAGCGATCCCATGTTACTAGTGGCTTCTTGCTACTATGTCATGCTGTTCGCCCCTGTTCCCCTGTGCCTGCCCCAGGTAGCCGCCCGGCCCATCCGTCGTGGTGAGCTGGTCCTGCGCGAGGCGCCGCTCCTGGGGCTGCCGGAGTCCTTCGATGGCGACTTGGAGGAGCTGATGAATCAGACGAGCCTGCGCCGCTGGAGCTGCAACGTCTGAGGTTTCTGAGGGCTGGGCGTCGGACAGGTCTTGAAAAAGTAGTCTTTTTGGGCTCCAGCGTCGGACCGCGTCGGCTCCAGCCTGGCACCAAGTCTGGACGCCGAGGTCAGCTGGACGCCGACCTCCGTCAGGCGTTAGAAGACCTGAGCGAGGAGCAGCAGCGGCGCTTTTGGTCGCTCGCAGACTCGCACTCGCCGGGGTGGGGAGGCTCAGTTCTTTTTCTCACCCGTGGGGGAGTCGCTTGACTCATTGAACTGAGAGCCCAAAGACACATATTTGGTGGTAGGAGCCGCGAAGCATCGTAGACTTGATTATTTAATAGTAAAACCTCCCCCATATGGAGAGGCCGTAGCCATTTTGGCTCAAGCCGTTTTCGGGGTCAAGCGCTCTTGTGACTCCATCGAGGATGGCGCTCCTACCGACTGATTCTGCGACGGCCGCCATTGAGCAGGCTACCGCAGCCAATGATGATGTTGAGTTACTCCATGACGTTGACCTCATGGAGTTCATTAACGGGAGTGGCTATGCCTTAACCGGCATTCAGAGCGAGTCCCAAGAGACCTCAGTCTGAGGACCTGAAGCTGGCCTGGTTCACCAGCGGCTCTCCGTCACGTGCCATTTTGGTGGCATATGAGGACAAACCCGAACTCCTCAGCGCACAAGACATCCTCCTGCGCCTCTCGACCGAGGGCTCGGCGCTGCCAGCCCTGCATGCCCTCTGGGTAGCGTCCTCAAGGGGACTTCGGGGAACCAAGATTTGGTGGCACTCACTTTGCTAACAGCGTCAGCTTGTGAGAAATACGACGCACCCATTCAACTGCTTTCAGAAAAAGACAAGGCGGAGTATGAGGAGCGTATTCGGAAGATGGGTGTGCCAGTGCCGCGCAATGTTGACGGCAACGCTTCTGCCATGTCAGTGAAGGTTATCTCCAAAGTCGCCTCGGCTGAAATCCTGAGGACGGTGGTTTCAGTGATCTCGGCGATCGATGTGCTGGGATTCACGCGCTCCCACGCGCTTGGAACCCTTGCAGGAATCAGTGATGATTCTCAGGTGGGGCTTTGGGTGCCGGCTGGTGGACGAAGGGATCCGGCCGACGCACGGCCCTTCGATGCCAACCTGGATCAGCCAACGTGCTGTACAGGCATGGCAATTGGCCACAGAAGACCCGGAGCTCTTGGCCTTTGCATTTGTCACCAGATCAATGCATCTTTGGAAGCTCGCGCAAGGTGGACAGGTCGGAAGACATATGATTGGAGGAGCTTTCGATCCGCCATGGTTCCCTGGGCGGCCACTCCCTAGCTTGTCCAAGCAGGCAAGGCTCTGCATCATTGATTTCCTCAAAGTCCATTGCCCAGTGAGCTACATTTGTAGCTGTAAGATGAAAGGATTTACTGCACAAATGACATTGATGCCATCAGGGTCACGCGATGGGAGATGGCAGACGACATAGGACGTAGCCGCCTCTCTTGCGCCATCGCCAGTATGCAGCCATGGCACCAGGTAGGTGGGAATGGCTGCGCTTATTCTCTGGAGGTGGCAGTCTTGCGCGAAAGAGCTTGATGAGGCGCCCTGCCCTTGCTGGTCACTGAGCCGTGAGGGCTTGAAGGGGTGCAACCACGACGTCATCCAAATCATCGCCAGCGCAAGCGCCGCGTTCATCAATTAATCATTCAGAGACTTGCCTGAGGATTGCAGTCTTTTTCTTTATAGTCCCAATCCGCCAGTTTGCCTTACCTGGGACGATGAGGAGGTTCTTCAAGTCGTTGTTTTCAGAGGCAAACGGAAGGGTAGTGCGCAGAAAAAGTTTTGCAAACACCTGTTCTACTAACATCGTGGAATTTGTGTTATTTTTCGTAGAATGGTGGGCCAGTAGGAAAACTGACTGCAACAAAATCCCAGAAACTGTCGCAGAACTTCATGGAATGTATTTTTCGCGCAAGCGATTCTTGCTGACCCCCTCTCTCCACACACCCTCCATTTAGCCTTCAGGATTGAAAAGGTTGCAAAAGTTCCGGTCATCATCTCCTTTGATGATCAGAGGATGTCCAAACACCCGGAACCACATCAGGCGCAAGGCTTCATTGGAGCCGTTACCAGTTAGTCTCGCGCCTGCTGGGCAATGTCCACGGCGCCATTCGCTCAACTTTTTGTTGACCATATTCCAAACGCCCAAGATTCCAGAAATCTTGAGCAAATGATGTTTTGATAGCGAAACCCTAGACGAATGACTTCCAATGTTGTCATTCTGCTTCCGAATACCAGCAAAACGCAATGTAGTTCTGGTTCTGCCAACTTTTCAATGTTGTCTTTCTGCTTGTGAATACCAGCAAAACACTCTGACAACCTTCCAACGTTGTCGATCTGCTTGGGAGTAGCAACAAACACAATGTAATTCTGGTTTTGACAACCTTCCAACGTTGTCACTCTGCTTGGGGTTAGCGACAAAACACAATGTAATTCCGGTTGTGACAACCTTCGAAGGTTGTCATTCTGCTTGAAATTGGAAGCAACAGTTTTGGCAACCTTCCAAAGTTGTCAAAAACTACAAACCTATAGAAGGAACCCTGCCAAACAACACGCGCCAACCAACCGACCAACCAAGTGTCACCCGCGGACTGCGGACACACACTTAGTCATAGGGTTTCCAGTTAACTCTGTTCCACGTGTCAAGGAGCGAAGGAACGGCAAGGTGATGAGTCCGACTTGTAGGTGTTTGAACAAAGTTGTTTCAATCGCGCAACTGCGGATTCTAGTTACTGAATACGTAGCCGATCGAATTAGCGCGAAGGAAACCTGTTTTGGGGTATAGCGTGCAAAACCACCATGAAAGCAAACCGGAGGAACATTGGAGTCACAATTTGCGAGCAGTGCAGGTACACGGAGCTGATCAGGCTCCGCTTCCCCCTCTTGTCCACAGCTTCGTTGCGCGTGGTCAGGACAAGAGGGCCACACGCCCCTGCTTCTTCTTGGTAAAACAAACTCCTGGATACGGAGGGGGGCACACACACACACACACGCAGCCGCTCAAGTACGGACGTGCAGGTCTGCCGCACGAGCGGCAAATTGTGGCTCAAAAACCTGAGTAGATACCTAAAAAGCCTTAAAAACAAAAGAAAGAAAGACAGAAAGAGCCAAACGAAAAGGGCAAGAGAGAAAGATAGGTGTAGCGAAAGAAGTGACTACTTAGCGCTTGACTGCTTAGCCTTTGACTAAAAGCCCAGGGGCAGGGAAACGAGCCTCAAGAACCACCTAACAAGCCTGAAAGAAAGCCTAGAACACGAAGAGAAAGCGGGGGGCAGGGAGGGGGTGTATGTCCATGTGTGTGTACATGTGTGTGTCTGAATACTTAGCACTCCAGTTACTGACTACTTAGCGGTTCTTAATTGCGTGCAGTAGTTAGGGAGCACGGCTTTAGTCTTAAACCGCCCGGGTAGCGTAGACTAGAACAGGGACAACAGAAGGAAAGGTGCCGACGCACAAGTGTGTCGAGTACCATTTCCTTCTGTTGCCCTAAATAGAAGCTCTCCGGACAAAGAAAAATTTGGACACACTAACGCATGATGACCCAAGTTAGGTGAATCTTGCATGATTCAATTAACTGCAAATATTGTTGTCGTTCCTCAATGGGATCGTCTGGGCTATTCACGCCCATCCATGGTCTGGAGGGCAGTGTTCTAGATGCTTGTTGCCGTACTTCGTAGCCTTCGTAGCCTCATGTTCCTCTTGTTCGTAGTGTGCATAGGTGACCACTAGATCTTGTCTCACCCCAGACCACATTCACCACCTATACCCGCCTCACCTGTGGGCAAGGGATGGTGTGGGAGCTCGTCCACAAGTCCGTGCATCCAATTGAGGGGCTGTATTGATCAAGAGTCTAGGATCTAATGATCTAACCATGTTCGCGGTAGGGGGAACTCTGGCTGAAGACGGGCGGAAGCCAGGCAAAAGACGGCGGCAGGGGTTGCACTGACGAACGCGTTGCAACTGGGCACAGGCGCAGGGCACACATGGGCACACGCGAAAAAAATGAGGAAACCAATTTAGGGAAAGCAATGGGAAAGCACCGGCTTCTCTGCTCGCCGACTGGCCAAAGGACCAGGTTTAACTTGGTCCTTGGACTTGTAGGGTATCAAAACATGCCCTTGGCTTGTGAGCTGCTCGGCCAGGTGGCGGCTTGCTCTGCCGCTCCGCGCGCTTCAACCACAGCTGCTTGCCCAACGTCCAGGGCACCTGGGCCGACGGCTGCGCCGAGTGGCGGGCGCTCCGAGACGTCTCCGCGGGCGAGGTGCGGGGCGTGGGGCGAGGGACGACAAAGGCCTTTGACTATTTGGTTGGTCGGTGAAATAGTTGGGGATACCAGCGTTCGTGTACAAGCAAGTGTACTCTATGGTGATTTGGCATCGACCCCTCGATTCCTGACATCGACTGCATCGATGTTTTGCAAAAGGACATCGTTGGGTTGGACGGCTTGGGGTGATTTTTTTCAGGGAGATCTTGGAGTGGCTGGTCACTGACTCCTGTGTGATTCACAGAGATGTGAAAGCGGGATGCGAGCGCCGAGATACGAGCGGCCTCAAAAATCGGCCATGGCAGCCACATGTGGCCACACAGGAGTGTGGGGTGTTTTTTTCTAGCAGAGATGGAAGCCTGCTTGTCTTGCAAGGCCCGCGACACGGTCGCGGCTGGGTTTCGAGGAGATGAAGACCCCCATAGGTCCTTGACCATGCCTCGACCATGCGACCATGCCGGAAGGGGGTGTGTGTCCCATGCAGCCAACGGGGGTTAAGCCGGGCCGTTAAGCGCAGCTGGTGTCAGCCGTTCCCTCCAGGAGCTTTGCTTCTCCTACGTGGATCCCTACCAGACCGACGTGCAGAGGCAAGAGACCTTGGAGCTGCCACGTGGCCAGACAGGTTGCCATGCCTGCGAGGGAGGCAGGGGATGGCAGGGGGGGTAGGTAGGGGATGGCACTCTTTTTGTTGGTAAGTCGAGTTCCCAACAAGTATGTTTCACTCAGCAGCTTGTGAAGATGCTTTTGGATGCATGAGCGATCATGTGAGGAAGGCACCAGTTGTGTCTGGTGGGAGGGGCGGATCCATGAGATGTGTCGAATATGAGCATGAAAGTCCAAACAGTGGCTGGCGATGAGGATTTGCCGATCGAGCGAAGCACCACATGCCCGTTGGTCGACCGGGACTGTCATTTGGATGAGCTTTGAATTAATTAGTATAGGCTCGACTGATTTCATAATATGATGCGGTTGAGCCCTTTACTACTGATCTGCAAGTGGATGTGAGATCTGTCGGATCTATGGCAACGCTGAACTCGCTGGCGCTGAGGCTTTTCAAGTTCAAATGCCAATGTCCAGTGTGCAGCCTGGAAAGAGAGGCCAGAGAGACCAGCAATCAGACCCTTGGACCAAAAATGACCCAGACCAGACCCGGGGGTCCAGTGGGCCAAAACCTGGTCTGATCACTTCGGTGCATCACTGGTTCTCCAAAATAGTCGAACTCGAAGTCTAGAGAGACAGGTGGTCATAGGAGATTTTTCCCCTGGGGATCTGGGGCCCAGGGCCCATGACTTGCCTCTGAAATGAATGCCATAGATTTGCCATAGATCATATCACCAGTTCTCTTCTTGGGTTCCTCAATGCAACTAACTGGAAGTCAGTTCAAAGTTCAAAGAGAAGAAGGTTAGTTTTGAGTTTTGACATCAAGAACACATCCTGCCAAGTTTGTCTTTTTCTCTGCAAGAAATTGGCAAGACGAGCGTTCCTTCCACTTCGCATGCGTTTGTTGCCCCCAATGGGCGTCATGGCGACATGTGTTTGTCGTCCTTTTTTCGCCCTATCGCTACTAGTGGCGATGCCCTATCGCTGACTAGTAGCAAACCCTTCGTCGAAACTCCTCGGAACCTTCTTCGGTGTCCCCGGACGGTCTCCGTCGCCGCCGGAGCCGCCGCAGCTCAGGACTCGGCTGCAGCTCCGCGAGCTGAACGAAGGGCTGCAGCTGGCAGTCATCGGAGCGGACGACGCGGGGTACGTGGCGGAGCGGCTGGTGCCGGAGATGCTGGAGCCACGGGAGACATAATGGGGATGGGTCAAAAGCTGAAGCCCTGGTCCACCATGCAAGACACCACCCGGTGGGTATCCTGGTGCCATGACCCGCAGCCACATGCTCAAACAGGAAGAGTTTGGGACAAGATGGGAAACGCCGATGAACTAATTGCACCAGAATTGATCAAAGTGGGGGAGGAGCTCCCAATCTTTTTCATGCACAGTGAAGTGGTGTGGAGAGGCTGTGAATCCTGGAGTGTGGGGACTTGCGCCGAATGACTTGGAGCATCCAATTTCTCCCAAGTCATGCATATTTTTTTCCTGGGACGTGGGACGGTGGGTTCAGACTGGGTCGTTCAGACTGGGTCGTTCGTTCGACCTGTGGCAACTTGTTCCCCGCTCGGAGCTATATGATGTCAAATTCGCCTTCCAAGACGATGACACGAAAGATTGACCTGCTTTGTGTATATATATATATATATACCTGGAGCCTTTTTGTGACCCTTGTTTTGGAGGATCAGCTATCCAAAATGGTGTTTTCCTATCAAAACAGAGGTCAGTCAGGCTCTAGGTATATATAATGCAAAACCCTCAGTCAAACAGTGACAAAGATTGTTAAAGGAATATGACAGTAAATCAATGCTGGGCCGAGGCCTAGGGTGATGGGCGATGATTCTTCAGATCGTTTTTGGCAGGACCTCTTGGACATCGAGTTGGGCGGAAGTAGTGCGCTGAAGACCAAGGCGCTCCACCTGGGTTTCCTGCAACTTGGCCGCGTGGCCCAGTCTCTCTGGGCTGGGACGGGTGAAGACGATGAAACGGGCTGGGACGGGTGAAGACCAGTTCCATCACCAAGACCAAGGACCAAGGAGAGAACTTTGTGAGATTGCAAGACCATCTTCAAAAGGGTTGACCTGGTGTTGTAGTGTAAACTCCTTTGTATTCCGCCCCTTTCTACAATGTGATGATTGGAATACCAGGGAACTGATTGTAGACAGCATCTCATGAAGACAAGAAGTCACGCACCTGAAGACAAGAAGCCGTGGTCATGTTCATTTCCTGAAGATTTGAACATGAACATATTGGAAATCTAGATCATGAACATGAACATAAATATGAATATGCTCAACACATTTGACCAAATCCCGAGATTTGACAACATATTGGACCCCGCCACACACAGGGTGTTCATATGAACACAATGTCCATGGTGAAGATGATTTGTGTCTGTGAGCTTTCGCGCTCTGTAGGCTGGCCCTGGAGTCGGAGGATGAGGACTTGGCCAAGAACATGGCACAGAAGGAGACTGCTTTGGACTCGCTTCTGATCTTGATCATCCAAACCAGATAATTTCATGATATATTCCAAGGTGTTATGTTGTATATGCCTGGGGTGATACGACAGGTTCCGTTCCTTCCGTTCTTCCGAAAAGAAACCACAAGCAAACAAGCGTGCATCAGCCTCGCCTCGCATCGGACATCGTTGATTTGGCCATGGTTGAACATGTTTGGAGTTTGGACCCCCAAATCCCATCGTTTCTGAGAACGCAGGCCTATGAACATGCTTCTGTGGCATACGGCCCCAATTCAGATGCTCGGTTTTCGCCGACGTTTCGCGCGCGGAAGTGGTCAAGCTATGTGTCCCTTGGACCTTCCATGTGTCCCGGCGTGGCGGCGTGTACTTGTAGGTTCGTGACTCGCGCAAGATGTAAGGACCGCGCCAAGATGCTACAAGCTTGTGCTGAAGGCCAGAAGCAGAGAGTTGATCTATATAATCAGATCTTACAGCAAAGGATGGTGTCAGTGTTTTTGTTTCCATATGCTTCGATTCACTGAAACAAACAACTCTAAGTGCCTGAAAAACACGTCCTTTCTTGGTTCATGTGAACACACCGATTTGGTTTGGTGGAGGGATGCTCTTTTGAGTTCAAGCACTCCCAATCTTTGCCCCACAAGATGTTGAGCATGTTGGGCAAACAATATTTTCCAGGCGACTATGAAAGCGAAGAGTTCGAGGACATGCTCTTGGAGATGCAAAGTGAAGCCTTTGCCTCATGACATCAACTGGAAAACGCCGCGTCACGAGCTACCCTGAGCTCCCTGCAGAGCTACTATGCACTCCGGCCAGCGATGGAGCTCGCTCCCCGCGCGGGACCAGCTCCCCGAGCTCGGCCCTCCAAGCGGCTGTGGAGCGGAACACCGTGGGGTCTGGGACACCGAGCTCGGCTTCGCGCGGTCTGAAGCATGTCGAAGCTCAGCTCGGATGGTGCGGCCGAGCCGAGCAGCTGAGCAAAAGAACTTGCTTGGTGGAGCTGAGCTCAAAAGATGCATGACGATGCGAAAACAATGCTACATCCACTGCAACGTAGTTGCCTTTGCAGGTCATGACGTTTGGGAAGATGAAAGGTAGGCAGACTGCTCTGTGATTCGCGATTTCCTGGGTTGGAGCACTTGCTTGGCAGGGAATGCTTTTGGTTAGCAGGTTTTTCAGCACTTGCTCCGCAGTGTTCCTCTCAAAGAAAGTCAAGAATTTGAACTCGCAAATGTTGCAGCAACATGGGTCCCTACCCTGTCAGCGGGCAACCCTTAAACTTTAACCTTCTTTGGGAATTGGTTTCTCCACTAAAAAAGAACAGCTAGGTGGAAAAAGAATGAAAAAGGGTCACCTCTATTTTCCAGGAATTGACGGGGTCAGTTCGAGTCAGAGTTTTTCTCCCAGACATTGGCTGTGTAGGCTCCTTTTGACCGCAAAGTTCATGCGATGTAGCTGGGCGCGGTATTGAATGCCTCTGCAGGGGGCACTGGCCTGCCATGCAGCGATTGACCCGGGACCGACCTGCAGAATGGTCAAAGACGGTGTCATTGAGCAGTTGCAGGGTCGGACAGCATGCTGTTGTCTTCCAAGCTGCCTCTAAAGTTCTAAAGATGTTCAATAATGTATAGTTTGTTCAGTACTATCCGCTTCCTACCAGAATGGTCTTACGTCTTCATACGTAGACGGTTTGATTCATTAACCGTCTACATACATCACCGGGCATGGTTTTCAATCGTTTTTCGTTGCGCACCTTCCGCGCTTCCTTTCTTTTGGACCTGCCGTCAGGAATGGTCCTTTGGCAGTGAAAGCCACCGTGAACGCCACATTCCCCTGCCGATCCTCACACGGAATGACCGGGAGGACGCTTAAGAACCGGTCGCAGAGCTTCCAGCGACTGGTGAGTGGAGGGGTTGAAAGGCGACGCATTGAGTAACCGTCCCATTGAGATGAGGTTTTGGGCGGTTTTGGGGCTTTGTTGCCGGTGAAGATGAAAGAGCAGACTATATAGTCAGTTTATGCATCTTTAGTCTGATATGTGCGATGTTGTTTGGGAAAGGATGTGACGTTAGTGGCTTTGACCCAGCCACGGATCAGTCGACAGCGGATCAGTGTTTGACCCAGCCGTTCCATGCGACTGGTGGCAAACCTAGACGCGGCAGCGCCGGACGTCTCTCGTTGGCCCACGTTGATGCATGGTCGGAGATTTCCCACGTAGAAAAGGGCCACTCTTCGTCGACAGGCTTTGCTACACTCTCCAAATCAAGTTCACATCATGGGTTATTGCGTCTGCTACTATTGCCTTTACCACATCATTGGATCACTTAAACTATAGATGTGGGGAAACATGTGGTTCAACTCCCCACGCTTGCCCCATTTGATCCGATTCCGACATCTCTCTCTTTTTTTGGTGCAGGACTTGGCCAAAACGTATCCCAACAACAAGGTCATCACTTCAAAGTACACAGTCTTGACCTTTGTTCCAGCCTCGGTTGCCATAGCTCGTGGGAAAAACCCGTCTCGACCCGTCTCGACTGCAGAGACCGCCGAGACCGTGTTTCTCGGCGTCTCAGACCAGGTGCCGAAGAACGTGTGGGAGCAGCTTCACAAGGCAGCGAATAGCTACTTCTTGTTGATCTCATTCATCATGTTCATTGGTGACTTGGCAAATCTGGTGATGGCATGCGGGTCACAAAAACACTTTTTGATCATGGCATGCGGCCTCTACCGCGAGCCCTTTTTCCACACGTTTCTTTCCCCCCACGCACCACCCCACAAAAGAGCAGCCAGTAACCTCAGTGTCCGCACCTTGCAGAACCGACGACTTGGCTCTGAGGGAACTACACCCCTTTGTTTCATGGCTTCATCCAATTCTACTCCACCTTCCTAGCGCTTCTCATCATGATGACCGCTTCAGCCGTGATCGCCGCCCTGGACGATCTGCGCCGGCACGATGCGGACGTGAAGACCAACGGGCAGATCGCACATCGGGTGACGGGCGACGGTGATGGCAGGTGTAGCTCTGAGGATGTGAGGCTGGGGTGCATCTGGGGGTATCGGGCTGAAGGAGAAGAGCAAACAGCATGTGTGGGGGGCCAATCCCTGGACCCGCAGAAGTCAGTCCAAGGCATGATGGGGAGTTTGACCTTGATCAGTATTCTTGATGGAAGAAATCCCGCACCAGCAGATAAGGAACATGATGGGTCTGAAGACCGTGTTTTTGGCAGGTTCTTCAGATCTGGTTGGTGCAGTGTCTGTCTTCCAAACAGCGGATCTTCAGATCTGTCACACGTCTTCGTCTCTTGGGGTTGGAGACTTTGATCCGGGTTGGAGACATCGCACCACCCTACGACGCACAAAAAACCACGCAGGTGGGCGGATGTGGTGGTGGGTGACATCCTCATCATCGAAGGCGAATGCGAGTTCCTGGGGCAAGCTTCAGAAGAGATTGAGTATTTCAGACTCCAAATCCAGGGAGCAGACTACAAAAGAAGTCGTTCGTGAATCGATCTCTAAAACGGAGAAAAAGCGGAGCAAACGGAACAAATCTCAATGGATCTCATGCCCCGGGTCGGAGCAAAGCATAATATGTCCATAGATGTTCCAAGGTTTCCAGCCGACTTGGTGCCATTGGCTTCCTCGAGTCAAGCGGGAGGATGCTACGTGGATACAGCCAATCTGGATGGGGAAAGCAATCTGAAGCTGAAGGAGAAGAACGCGGTTTGATCTGCTCGAAAACGGGTGACAGTGATACGATACTTTTGTTTGCTTTTGGTGTTTATTTTTTTTGGTAGTAGAGGTAGTCCAGGACGAACGTGCGTAGTACGGGTCCAAAAGTCATGCGCCTGGGACTCTCCTCTAGAGGTAGTACATCTTCCTTCGATCGAGTGCTAGTTACGCCGAGACGTCTCGTAGTGTTGGGTCGTGGTGTTGGTCGGGGCCGATCGGTCGTGATGCCGATCCGATCGATGCGTTGGCCGATCCATTCAGCAATTGGGGATTGTTCGTTCGCCACCCACAATTCCATCAATCGAAGAAACAAAGACACCCATATTGGATGTTCACGGGCTGTGGACCCATTTCTCCGCCAGGAAGACCATGGAAGACCCATTTTCTTCCATCAGCAGGTGGCTCACTTGACTCCCAAACTTCCAACACTCCCTGGGTCTCGTTGCCTCTGAGTGACTCCATACTGGGATGGGTCCAAATTGCACTGGTTCACCGTGTAGCAGCACGACCTTCCACCACAACAGCGGTCTGGTCGTGCCCGTGTAGGTCTCCTGGTGCGACACACGACCCGCCACGTCTGACGCAGCAGAGGAGTCGGTGAAATGCACTCAGCAGCAGCTACGCTATGCCACCACCGATCAGCCTTTGTTGGACCAGGCCGTGGCCAATCTGAGCACCCTGAAGGGCCATGTGGCAGCGGAGGCGCCGCAGAAGTCCATCCACAGCTTCAAGGGACGCATCGAGCTGGACAGCGGCACGCAGGACGCAGACGCCCAAACGCAGCGCCCGTGCCGCGCCACGTCGAGCAACCTCCGCAGTCGTTTCACGCGTGCGTCTCACACGCGTGTCACGGGTGGCGATGAAGGCGACGAGAACGGGTCCCGTGGTGATGGTCCAATGGCGGTGGTTTCTTTCGGTTGTTTTGAATGTGGGTCGGTCGGTGAAAGAATGTGAACAAAACTGTGAGACATTTTGTTGGTCGGTTAAACAACAGCCACGTTCCGTTGTCATGTCTATTGTTTGAACTGTCTTCGGGGGGCGCTTAATTCTGCGTTTCCCTTTTGGAAGAATGAAGTGTGTGGTGGTTTAATTCCGGTCGGAAAACTGTCCGTGGCATGAGAGGTTTGGTGCTTTCGGATTGGAATTGAAGAGCAACTCCTTAGGATGTCTACCCTAGGAGTCCAGTCGACCAATTTAAAAACACGGCCTGACTAGGTTCTAGGGCCATCTAGGGCCTAGGGTCTAGCCAAGCCGTTGAAAGTCAGATAGGAAGAACACCTCGCCGGCCAGGAAGCCTTGGATGCCAAGCATTTGCTGCTTCGCGGCACCGTCTTGAAGAACACCTCGTGGGTCTTGGGCTTGGTGGTCTATACGGGTCCGGAGTCTCGCATGGTCATGAACTCGAGAGAAGCGAAAGCCAAGTACCCCAACATCGAAAAAGTCATCAACCGCTCCATGCTGGTGGTGGTGGGTGCTCAATGCCTCATGGCGCTCATCAGCGATATTCTCTACCTGGTGACGAAGCAACAATTCTTGAGCTTGTGGTACTTGTTCCCTGCAGGGGAGGTCCAGTCCATCTTGCTGCCCGAATTTATTGGCTATTGGCTGACCTTCTTTGTGCCTCTTGGCCGGGATGTGCGTGATTCCGCAATGCTCGTTCCGCCATGCGCGTTTGCGAGTCTGAGTGTGCAGATTTGGTAGATTCGATTGATAAGTACATTTCGAGCTGCACAGTTGTGCATTCGGTCCACCGTTGGTCCACCCAAGGCTCTATTCCAACCTGATGCCCATCTCTTTGTATTTCACCATGGAGGCAAGGAACCGGACGCACAGGAACCAAGGGCTTGATAAAGAGGCACGATGCGAAACCCGTTTTGGAGTGAAACCCGCGGGAGCGACCGTCAGGTATGCAATGCTGCGCAGGCCGCGCCTGAGTCGGAACATGTTCTTGTTCCCCACGTCGAAGTCCGACTCCACGTCGAAGTCTGCGAGAAACCTCGGGTTGAGGCATACTTCATCAAGAATGATTTGCAGATGTACGATGAGGCGAAACCGACGATGTCGCATGAGGGCCGCAGGAGGTCGAGCTATACCGAGCTATCCAACAAGGTCAGAGATTCCGAGTCTATGACCTAGCATTGACCTACCGGTCAATGGCATAGACTTGGTATATAGGTAAAGGTATATACCGGGCTGAAAACTAACTATGGACCCTGAACGCCACTGGTTTGTAGAGGAAAACAGTTTTGTTGGGGTGCCATTCTCACGGTCCATGTGAGTTTTTGGGAGTGTATATTACGGTAAATGTCATGTTTCAAGACCTACCGAATCCCTCCCGGCTTGGATGGGACAGGTTCAGGATACTCCTGCCAACGCTCGAACCACGCAGCTTGGATCGAAGAAGAATACGCCGTGCAGCACAGTTCGACCACATGTTCTTGTTGCACTCGTTCGGTGTTGGCTCGTTTAGTGCCAGGAAAAAACACCTGTGCCATGGACCGTGAATCTTGTAAGGCTATTTACTGTAATCATTCTCATTTAGCACCCCGTGGTTTTCAGGGTCCGTGTCAATCTGCGACAGGGTATTCCTTTTCTTTTTCTTCTTGATCCGAGGAATCTGTGTCATGAGCTTGGGCAAGTCTCCTACGTTTTCTCAGACAAGACTGGAACGTGACGCTGGCCAAGTTTGGTGTCTCCTTGTCTTTCCTTTGCATGGAGAACAAGTTTGGCCTTTGTGATCACCACTTGACAGATTGACGCAGAACGTCATGGAGCTCAAACGTATCTCCATTGGAGGCAGGTCCTTTCTTTGTTCACACATGCACAGATGCTGAAGTCAAGTGCGATCGCCAATATCCTCCGAGGCTCCAAGTAAGGTAAATTTTAATCCACCATGTTCTTGTTGTGTTCAAGTTCCCTCATGAGTTCAGCGTTTCCAGGTGAGATCTATGGTGAGACGGGAGAGGCAGAGGGATGGGGACAGCGGTTTCGATCGATGCTGTCTGTGGTCGATGTATGCGAGGGGGACACCCACGAGGCCTTCAGATTGAATGTGCCGTAACCAACAAGAAGCTACTAGTAGCTCCTGGCATTACTACTAGGAACAAGAACGCTACTAGGTTGGAGGCCATCGCTACTAGGGTGGAGGCCATTCCTACTAGGAACAAGAAGCTACTAGTAACAAGTGCACTACTAGTATGCCTCCCTCTCTGCCGCTGGTGACCGCCGGCCCCCCATCCGCCAGTCAAACTACTCGGCCCTCCCCTAGGGGATTTTCCTAAGGAGGATTACCGCTCACATTCTCTCACTATCACATTCGTTGCCATCAAACGGGAAATCGGACGACCTCGGGACATGACAGGAACTTGGTGACTTATTGGTGCGAGGTGGTGGATTGGGTTTGCCACAGATGTTGCCCATGTCGTCGGATGGATGGTGCATAGTGGTGATCCGGATGCTTGGTGATGCCGAGCACCCTCCGCAGGAGTCTGGCTTTCAGGGCAGGGCAGCCATGCTAAATGCCAGGCCACAATGCTTATCTTGATATAGCAAACTCTTATGTCATTGAGACTAAGACTTCAAAGTTTCAGTGTTTGAATGTGTTTGATGTTGCGGGAGGTTGAAGAATCCTTCACAAGCAGCTGCCATCGATGCAGTCTTAGAGGCCGAACTTCACTTCGCTGTACCAGGTCGGTCGGGGGGAGTCGCGAGTCAGGTGCTGGCCGTCTCCCACACAGTGGTCTCCACCAAAGACCGCAGTGGGAGAATGAAATACGAGGCTGGCCAGGAACCTGGCAGCTTTCACCTCCTTTTTGTCTTTATCCTTCATTTTTTCATATTGCTTCACTCTTCAGAGAGCCCTTTGAACTTTGGACCAACTCAGTAGCCTGGCACCTTGCAGTTCCAATGTATGAAAGACGTTGCTGGTCGCCTTTCGACTGTACCACACCGAATGGAGGCCGAAAGCCCGGATGAAGGTGCCTTGGTTGAGGCGCATTTCTTTGGATGTCATTCATTCTCCCAGGCCTAGTCAACTACTGTAGTTCTTGGAAACTGTGGTGTGTAGTATTGTGTAGTTCAAGTTTGAAAACACAGACCGGAGGTGTTTCCCTTAACTGGACCTGGCTCTCTCCTTTTTACCCCGAAGTTCGGAAGTGTAAACCGCTTCACCCACAAGATAGGACCTTTGGATTCCTCCCACCGAAAGATGTTTGTAGGCAGGCGGATGTTCATGGATCTTCAGCATTCATCACTGATGAGTCTCTCTTAAAAGACTCGACCGACATATAGGGTCCAGCTCTACCTCTCCAGGCCAGTGATCTCCTCCTTTTTCGTAAAAACCACGCTGGACCTGGACCGACCTGGACCGACCAGTCGCAGTGCTCCGCTTCTCGGATCGATCCCCGGTCGAGGCGGTGGGAAGGCTGGGCTGGGTCTTCACCGGGCGTACCAACGAGGGCCTCACGGTGGAGGCGCACCCACGCGGCGCGGAGGGTTCCGGGGCGGGGCGGGGTGTACGTTCAATGGTTCAGGCTCTTAGGTTTGCGTGCAAGGTGCAAGGAGGTGATTCTTCCGAACTTCCAAGCAAGATCTGACTATCGGCCTAGAGCACCTTATTGTGAGTATAGGGTAGATCTGTGATCAGTGGTCCTATGTATCTCTTGGTGCTTGTTATCTCGGCCAGCTACCCTCATGGGCCAGATGGGAAAAGCCTTTGAACGGATGTTCAATGTGGTCCATATTCTATGTCATCATGCAGGGACTGAAGCTATTTATCTCTGGGCACTGACAGATGGCAGAAGAATGAGTCATACATCTCAAAGTTTCTCAATTTTGAGGTCAATATCGGCGAGACTACCGGCAGCCAAACCTACGAGCTGCTAGATGCTTGACGGCATGGCATGTCACATGGAGTGGGAGTGATTTCATGGGAAGCCATGAGCGCCAAACACGTGCGACTTCAATCTGTATTTTGTTCGTGTTCTTGCTAATATTTGAATATATTAGAACAGTGCGTGATAGCAACCATCTCTTGAACCGTTTTTTACATTTTGCTAGGGTTCTAAACCTTCGTGGGATTCCCGAAGGCACCTTCCCTTTCAAAAGAAAAGGGGACGCTGTGGGGGTGCGCTTTTTTCTATGTTTTACACACAAAATCAGCCAAAAGAGTATGTGATCAAAAGACATCTGCTTTCTCACACACACACTTGTTAAGTGGCACAATCTGCTGGGAAGGTATCAAGAATTTAGAAACAACCACAAAAAATCAAACAAAAAACAAAGAATCTAAAATTCCAACAAATCCAAAAATCCAAAAAATCCAAGAAATCCAAAACATCCAAAAATCCAAAAAAACACACATCCATTCCTGAGCCAAACATAGGTCTGTTTTTTTTGGATTTTTGGATTTTTTGGAATTTTTGGATTTTTCGGATTTTTGGATTTTTTGGATTTCTTGGATTTTTGGCAATGCCTCCATCAATCAATCATCACATCTCCACACAAAAATAAAAATCACGCATGAAATCTCTGCCACACCATCCAATGTCAAAAGTTCAACTGAAAATCAGGCATCATCTTCTTTCCAAATGCCTCTTTGGCTTTGCAAAGAATTCTCTGTGAGAGATTTTGTGATCTCAAGGCAATCTGCTCTGCTAGTTGCGTAGTACTTTGTGTCCGTCAGTAAGAACCCCATAGCTTCGCTATCTGGGGAATATAAAATTGATGATAATGTAATTTTATGATATTTAGAAATTCATGTTCGATAATTGGCGTGGTTGATGTTATTATTGAAAATAGTAATTGCGATATATTTTATATATGTTGGTTCGATATATTTTTATGTAAAATAAAATATGAAGCGATATGTTGTATTATTTGTTTTGATATGGAAGCATAAATAATATAATTACGATTAAATTCGATTTTATCTTAATGTAAAAAATGCAGAAGGGGGGGTGAGGGGGGGGGAGAGTATGCATATTCTAGAAATGCGCGTTTTTTGCACTCTCTACTTCAAAGCCTTCTATCTGCTGCTGAAATGCTGAAAATTACAATATAAACAAGCAATCTCTCTTGCATTGATAGGCTTGTGAAAGTTGTTCTTTTGTAAGCATTGATAGGCTTGTGAAAGTTGTTCTTTTGTAAGGTTTTGTTCTTTATGGTGAATGATATCTTTTTAATAGGGTTGTGAAATTTGTAAATTTCCTGCTCTATGTGCAATTGGTAAACATATTTATTCATTCAATTATGAATTATAGAAATGATTACATCCATAAGCTAGGTGTTTACCAAATAGTCCCCATGCAAAATCATATTTCTTTCTTTTAGAGTGGGAATTGTATTGCTCTTATTAAATGCAGTTGGGTAAATACATCAGAATTAGAAGGCAAATAGTTATAAATCCTAAATAACTAAATTCTATTTTAATTCTTATTCAGTTCAAATTCAAATCTATATGTAAATTCAGGATCAATTCTAGTTTAATTATATTTCAATTCTATTTGCTTCAACTTTCCTTCACTGGGATCAATGCAAGCCAAATTATAATTCGATTTTACCTTTAATTTCATTATTATATAGTTCGGATTCAATTCTAATATTTCATTCGTTTTGAATTAAAATTTGGATTTTATGAAATTCGCATTTATTTCTAGGGAATTGATCTTGCTTTGAACATAAACGATTTTTATGATTTTTTTCCAATATGGAAGTATATTCTTTCTTTAATGAAATATATTCATACCACCAATAATATTCATTCTCTAGAATGGAAGCAAAACACAAGTAGAATTCCATTTGCATTAAATTGGAATCAAGTTAGAAAATTATATATATAGATCAATTGAATTTAAACTATATAAAGCCGTTAACATTAGAAATCATTAACAAATCAATTGGAAATTGGAATAGACAGAATTACAGGTTTTAATGCAAAACAACATGCAATAGAATTAAATGAAAAATAGATTTGAATTAAATTGGAATTGAATGAATAATACTAAATCAAAATCCATTATTCAAATTGAAATTGACCTAGACCTAAGGTAGAATTGAATTAAAGATATTTAACCTAGGAATTAATTAATAGAACAATATTGCAATATTGTTATAAAATTAGGTTACAAATAATTCGATTTAATGAAAATAAGCTGAAAAAACAATTATAAAACATTATAAAACATGGAAAAAAGCGCACCCCCACAGCGTCCCGCTCTCTTTCAAAAAACCTTTGGGCCAAACCAACTAGCTCCCTTCCACCACGAATCCCAGACAACATCACCGACCCATCCAACCGAGTCTTGAGGCCCTCAACGCCTTTACCTCAGCCAGGCACATCCGCTGTGCGGACATGTCGCAGGTTTTTTGGGGAGGAGGAGCCGCGTCGCGCGTGGATTTGCACATTTTCTGCAATCAGCCCATGGTTCAGCATGCAAAAGTGGAGTGCTTGTTCTTTGCGACCCGCTCCTGCAGTGTTAAATCATGCTGGTGCGGTACTACAGCAAGCGACATGACACGTGCCTGTCTTTTCGTTTCCGGAGCTATTGTTCTTTGTGCTTCTTACAGCAACCCCCTTTTTCTCCCGCCCCGGGCCAGCCCCAGAACCTTCCGGTTCCCGACTCGGGCTGGCCGGGCTGACGTTTGTCTTCCAGAGGAAGCGGCAGTCGGTGCTGGTGAGGAGGCCATCTGGAGAGGTGCAGTGTTACTTAGCTGTCTGGCGGGGACAAGAGAGACATGGAATCTGAGTCGTTTTTCTGTTTTGGGGGCAGTTCATGTTTTCCAGGAGGGAGTTTCGTTTCTTCTGTTCTGTTTGATGTGATTGATGGGAAGATCTGAGTGGAAGATCTGAGTGGAGGTGGTTTTGCTGGTCAAGGGAGCTGATGATGTGATGCAGAAGCTTGCAGCGGATCCTCAAAGCTTCCCAGAGGACGCATTTCCTGCGGATTTTCCTCCTGCTGAATGGTCGCAAGATGTCACGAGCAAAACCCATGAAAACATGTGGCGCCACGTCACGGTGTGTGTCTTGGACAAGGGGAATGTTCGCCACTGACGGGTCCATTTTCCTCCTTCCAAGGGGATTGTCTTTTTGGGGATCTTTGTATTGATGAAATACATCAAGAAGCTACTAGTAACTAGTAACAAGAAGCTACTAGGGGCTCCTGGCATCGCTACTAGGAGCAAGAAGCTACTAGTAGCTAGTTACACCCATGTTCTCTTGTCAACACTTTCTTGACGATCCTTCACGAACGTCTCCAAGCAGGAGCATCTGAGAGCCTTCGCGAAGCAAGGCCTGAGGACTTTGGTCATGGGGAGGCCGGGCCCCTGAAACGATGAGAGTCGTCACACGAAAAGACAGACCCCCTTTTGGACCCCTGAGAAGTGATGTGGGATTTTGGTGGTTTTTCCTCCACAAGCCCAGTGGTTTTCGGGGATCCAATATGGTCCTTTCCAGGGGGGCTATGATCCTTTGTTGGGGTGAACCTTCCGTTCTGACTGGCTCCACACTCCGGACCGGTCGTGCTGTCCCACTGCAGTGGTGTGGGTTTCTCCGGTGCCAGTTGCCGAGGCGATGGATCTCGGAGGCGGAGCTACGGCAATGGCATCAAGAATACACCAAAGCGCAGACTTCCATGCAGGAGCGATTCGGTGATCTCCAGTGACTCCTTTTTGGCGTTTTCTTCTCGATTTTTTTGTTAGTTCTTTGAAAAGGTATCCTTTTTGGATTTTTGTCGGCCTTTAATTCGGAGCCCTGTGCTTCTCTTCTCATCAAAGGATAGGTCTATTGCACCACCGCTTAAAAAGTGGCTCCTCGAAGCAAGGAAAGATTGATCTTGTATCTGGCTTGTCCAAGGATGTGGGTGTGGTATGGTGTGGTGGGGGTCTTGGGTTGGGCACTGTCTAGCACAGGACAGAGAAGGTGCCCTGGCGCAAGTTGCTGACCAGATCGAAAGGCGGGACAGCATGGGGGAGTGGTTCGCGCAAACCGATCCAAGCTGGTTCGCGCGACGGAGGACTCGGGCGGAGGACTCGGGGGTCGCAGGGTTGCATGGGCTGGACTCGGCATGGATCTGGATGCGATGGCAAGGTCTTTGGAGACCTTGGGCATCACCGGCATCGAAGACAAGCTTCAGGCCGACCGCTGAAAGCAGACCCGCCTACCCAAGACCCAAAGAAGGGCTCTTCTATAGCCGTGCTATAGTGGTCGCCATGAAACCTGGCTAGAAGATGGGTTTGAAGGCTGTTTTGAGGAGGGGATTCACTTTCGGTCTATCTGATAGGTCCAAGATTCGCGTTTTTGCGCCTGAATGTGCCCGCAGGTTGGAGTGGAGGATGCCATCGTGAAGATCCGGCAGGCCGGAGATGCTCTTGAAAAAGCTCTTTCGGGGTTGAAGAGGCTTTGAAATGTTGGTTTGACAATGTTTGACAATGTTTGACATGATGTTGTTCGCGGCAGTTTCCATTTTCTTGGTGCGCAGGGGCCAAGCATGGCCAAACCCGTAGATCTAGATCTGCATCTCCGAAAGGTGCCCCTAACATTGGACATTCCAGCCGCACCCAAACTCGGTGGGTCTTTCCAGTGGGTCTTTCGACCCAACCCACCACAGGCCGGGATCAAGCTCTGGGTGCTCACTGGCGAAGCTCGGCCGCGCTTGGTAGTGCTTGGTGATGCGGGGGTGGGCGGGGTGGTCTAGGGGTGTGGACGGCTTAAGAGTGCGAAGGGACATGCGGTGAGGGCGTACATTAGGTGGGCCTGAAGTCTTATCTGAGAGGCCTGGGTTATTCTTCACAGATTGATGTTTGATGGTCTCAATATGTCTCAATAGGTTCTGCTAGATTCGGTCACTTGAGAGTAGATTCGAGATGACTAAAGCTGCCATTCATAAAGAAAATAGTTTCTGGATGGTTTTGGATTGATTCATCCTTGAAAGGATCCCTTCACAGACATTCTGAGCTGTTCCCTGTTTTTGCACGAGGATAAGCTGGAGACCGCCAAGAACATTGGCTTCAGCACGCGAGTTCTCAGTGAGATCCTCACAAGATTCACATGAAACTCGTGTCAATGTTAAGATCATGCTATCCACGTCAGCCATGTATTATTCCAGCCTGGTCTGTGTGGCTTGAGTAATTACCATTTCTTCTCTGGATCAAGTGCCTCGCTTACTCACTCAGCTCCTTGGAAAACACATGTTGCTGGTTCCTGTTGAACCTTCGGGGTTTCACAGTTTCACTTGGGGGGGTGTTTTTCGCTATCGTTGATTGCTTACGTTGGGCATGGGCCTTGGGCAGCACGACGGTGGGTGGGCGCGCCGCAGCATGCCGAACGCCGAACGCACGGAGGTTCCAGCATGGAGATTCTGACGTTGGACCTGACCGATCGGAGGGCCTTCAAGGACCGACACGCGGGTCGGGTGGAGGCAGGACCAGCGGTGACCAGCGGAGACCGGCGGTGACACTGGTGGGTGTGACAACATGTTTGTGGTCTTTTTGGATGGTTGCCTGTAATTTGTTTGGATGTTTAGCTTAGCTCCACTGGAATTGCAATGAGGAATGATGTACGCTATGCAGCGCTCTTCATGCAGCGCTCTTCATGCAGCGCTCTTCATGCAGCGCTCTTCATGCAGTTGACACGAGGGGGGTAGAAAAATGCGTGTTCTGGCGGTGTGGATTGTCATTGTGGATGGTTACTTGACCAACTCTCTCATCCTATCTACCATGAGCCCATAGCCTCCCTAGCATAGCTCCCAAGGGCGCTGGAAATCAGGCGCCCTTACTAATCGAGAACATGTTCCCAGAGAGAGTTGGACATGCCTATATATATATATATAACAAATGATGAATGCTAAGATGTTCGAAAGGCACCTCAAGCTGCTTGCCTCCTTTCCCGTTCAAGCAGGACCACTTGGAAGCTGTGAAAGCAAGCGCTGAACAGGCCCATGAATCAAGCTTGTTTGACAGCCAGGCTAGCCTGGATTGAGACGCCTCAACCACCGTGTCCCAATCAGATTAGACAAGCTTCCGATGGACGATTGGAGCTTTGGAGCTCTTGACAGGCCTCCAACAATGGGGTCACGGTGGCCTTGATCGTCACGGGCCATGCTTTGGAGGCACGGCTCATGACAGGTCATGGCGGATCACAGGGCGGATCGCAGGCCGCGGATGGTGAACGCGACGACTGGTGGAACCTTTTCCTTTGGGTGGAACACGCGGAGTCCAGCTCACGCGGAGTCCGGTTCGGACAGGGTGGAGGCTTCGGACAGGGTGGCAGGGAGAACCTGCCAGTTTCGGCAGCGTGACAGGAGATCCTGCGAAGGGAGAAGAGCGAAGCCAATGGGAGCGAAAGGCGGATGATGCATTGGATGGATGCATTCACCAATTCACCAGTGACCTTTGCTTTTCTTTAGAGAATAGACATTCCAAAGGATTCCATAGCCTACAAACTGTGTTCAGCTTGTTCTTGTCAGGAGCATGGGCAAGAAGAGTCAACCAAAAGGCAAATACCAAGATCTCTTCTTGGAGGCTGGCCCTCTCAGCAGTCCACGGTCAGGAGTTCCGGTCGACCTTCCGTTTGATTGACCTGGTGGACCTGGTGTCCAACATCCTTAGTAAAAACAGCTCGCTGGTTCGGTTAACAAAAACACTTAAGAACACATTAAATCGGTATGAATCAATGGTGCATACGGAGTCCATCGAATTTTTCCCGTGCCTGAGGTTCTTCTTCGCTCGTGAAAGACCAGTGAGGGGTTAAGATCTATTTCAACTGGTTCAAACAAAGCCAGGAACAAAAATCATTCCTTCTTTGCAGCTAAGGGTTTCCGAACAGACAGAAGTCACAGGAGATGATGTCAAAACGATGAGGATTTGAGATGTTTGCCTTGATTGCACTTCTGAGAAGACAAAGGGCTTCGCCAGCTGGTACTCCTCACCGACACCCATAGGCAACGCAGGCGAGATACCTGTTGCGCACAAAAGATACCCTCGTTTCCCCGGGTTTGTTGACATCCAAGGACGGCCTGCCTTTTTCTTCACCAGTCAGTCTTTTGGGCACCCCAAAAGCCGGCCTTTCTCGCGGACCGCTCCCGCTCCCCCATGTCTCATCGAAGAAGGTCGCGCTGGCTGCGGTGGAGCGACCACCGTGCGCCTCGTGCGCCACGTTCGAGCTCTCGGGCTTCTCGGCTCTTCAGGTGGCCGTCCGATGCTCCGTGGTGATCGCCTGCCGGGTGTCGCCCTTGCAGAAGGCGGAGGTGGTGACGGTGGTGAGGACGGACGGGTCGGGTCGATCTCGTCGGGACGGTTCCCAGTGAAGTGACCATAAATAGGACCCGTCACCAGGAGCCGAACTAGGATAGTCGAACTAGGGTTCTGACCCACCTCTGCTGGGACGGTCAGATCCATCAGCCTCGCTGTGGCGTGAAGCCGTTCGAATTCCCAGGAAGGGCGTGAAGCCGACGCCCGTAACGCTGGCCATCGGCGACGGGGCCAACGACGTGCCCATGCTACAAGAGGCTCAGGCCGGTCGGAGGGTCGGACGGTCGGGGGGTCGAACGGTCGGGGATGGTCGGTGTGTGGAAGTAAGTCACGGCTTCAGTTTGTTTCAGTGAACATTCATCTCCAATCAAAGCAAACTGCTGCGATTTCTACCCGCTAGGCTTTCTTCTTGTCCGTCTGTCAAACCCCAACAAAAACATGAAAAGCAATTTGTTGGGGTCATTCATTGTGATTAAACACGCGACAACCACCCCGTACCCCGTAATTACCCCGCCCTTGACCTCTGCCTCTGTGCCTGGACGTCGTTCGCCGGGTCCCGAGGTGGGCGTTGGCATCTCTGGACGTGAAGGAAGGCCGGAGACGTCGAAGGATGCGGGAGACCGGGAGCCGACCAGCGTCGGGTGCGGAAGTCGATCCGACCTGATGCGACCCGTGTTGTGGCAAAGCGGGTGGGTCTTCTTTCGACGGATGGATGGATGGATGGATCGATGGAGTATCAGAATCAATACACCGAAGAAAAGATCATGAGAGTGACCCATGAATGAACAATGACCGATGAATCATCCATGAATGACCCATGAATGATGGTTCACGTATGGAATGACGGATAGCTCCCACGCCGATCTTTAAGAAGGCTCAATTTCGAGAAGTCACATGGAAGACACCGACAGGCTTTTCTAACGCACGTGCCTAGCATTTTTGGACAGGAGTGGTCGTGTCTCATCAACTCGATGACTAGTCCTAAGACTGAGAAAGGACGCACAGGCAGCCCTGTCCTTCAAGTCTGGTAATTATGATCTTGGATGTGTTTGTCTCTCAAACCAGTTGGTGTTGTTCTCGTTATATATCCCCTAGAAGTCCAGTTCGACTATATTTTGACCGGCTGAAAGTAAAGGATAGTCCCAGACTCGGGTTCACCGTTCGTCAGACCATTCTTTATATAGTCGACTTGACTCTCAGGGTATCCGTTGGTTCTTTTCGCTTCTGACCAAAGCGACGCGCACAACGTTCTTGTCCACCCACGTCATTCGAGAATTGGTCATGCTGGGCCGTGCTGGGCGGTGCTGCCACGCGTGGTGCTGCCTTCACCACAAACTCGCGGGGCCCAAGAAGGGCCCCAGAACGAAGTCAAACCGAGCAGGAAGAGACTCCCAATCACTGAATTTCAGTAGAGAGTTCCATGCACCAAATATCTAGGATTCAATGATATTCAATGTGCTTTCTTGATCACATCAAACATGGTGAGTCATATGGGGTCATGTGATGTCTGACAACCTATCTTCCCCAAACCGGGTCGACCTGCCGCGCTTGTTCTGCTGCGCGCGCGTGTTTCGCGCAGCAGGCAGGCCGTGAACTGCGCGGACTTCGCCATTTCCCAGTTCCGGTGGCCCTGCGGGTATTCGTCGGTCGCGGCAGGTCGATGGTGGAGGGGTGATCCAAATGGTGGAGGTCGATGATAGAGGGAACGCACGAACGATGGCGTTTAGAGGGAACGCACATGTCGCACATGTCTTTTCTCTAAAGACATGTGTTTGGGGTTCGCAAGGCCCGAGGGTCGCAGCCACCCCACTTGGGAAGAATCGACTCAGTCTCTCACACACAGGCATACAAGATCATACAACTAAGTGGGGAGACATGTAAGGCGATAAGTGGGGAGACAAGGCAGCAGCGGCACAGCAGCGGCGAACCCAGGTACCCGGTCACAGAAGTAAGAACCCCTGTAGCAATCGCTATTTGGGGGAAAGTTATGCTCGTTGACCTGGTCTTACTGCTCAGGGGGATGGTTCGGGTCTGCTTCGTGCACTGAGCAGCGCCCAGGACTCCTATATAACCCTATAGCCTTCCAAGACCGCTATATAAACAAATGGTTGACCTGTTTTTGTCGTGTAAGACTCCTTAGTAAAGCAGCGTAGCAGCGGCTCGGGATTCGAACCGTAAAAGCTGGGTCCAAACCACCCCCGTTAACGGTGGACGCTCAAACCGTGTCAAACGATCCAGGTACTTGGCACGGTTGATGCTGGTGCACGGGCGCTGGAACTATCGACGTGCGTGCAACGGAGTGGCAGAGGTTGAGCGACCGTTGGGGTCTGGGGGTCTTTCAAAAGGATCTTGTGAATCAATCTTGTAAGTCAACCTTACAACCTTACCAAGAAAATTCGAAGCAAGCTATCTAGTGTCTCCAAATGATGCAGTCAAGTTTCTTTCCCTTTGACTAGGGGTATGGAGGAAAAGTAGTGCCAGAACTCGGTGTCTCTCCTATTAGGGCTTTTTGGCTAGTCACAAGCAGCCTCCCCAGTTGTGTCCGCTATCCAACCGCTGGATGCATCCAGCTCAGGTAAGTTCGTGATCTATAGCTTTTGGAAAAACGCTGTGCTCCACAGTTGCAAGTAGTTCTTCTCATCCAACGTGCGACGCACCTAGTGATGTGAGATCTCGTTCATCTGAGGTTGGTTCGCTCCCTAGCCTTCATGGTGGTTTGGTCATGCCGTACTGGATGCATGGTGATGTGTGGCTGAGGTCCTTCTGATGTTCTACTACACCTTTGTATCTGGATATGCAGGCGGGGGCAATGGATGGCGATGCTAGGACGCACTGGCCTGCCACCCTGAAAGCAGATGAGCATTTGATCGTTGGCACCAGGCCAAAGCCTCTTTGAGGATATGGCACCTCGGCAGTTCGTTTCGTCAAGGCATTTGGTCAAATGCCACCGCAGTAGGTTAAAGGTTCACAGTTCCTCTTGGACTTCGTGTTAGCCAATTCTACGAAGCATGCTAAGCTGTTGGTGTGTTGGTGCTGCTGTCCTTTTTGGGCCTGCAAGACTTCACGCTTCACGTCAAGGTCAGAGCATCCTACAACTTTGTGCTGGCAGCACCCATCATTACCACCGGCGTTTTCGATCAGGATCCGAAATGCACCAAAAACACCGAACATGAACTCATCTGGCACTGCAAGGATGAAGTCAAGGTTTCTTTGAACCATTTCTCATGGTGCTCCCATCCCATGAAGCCCTGGGTCCTCACCTCATGACTCGGTGTGACTCGCTTCCTCAAGCACCCCACCATACCCACCACCTGCCCCATAGGTCGATCCTGGTGTTTTGGAGCCCTTGGCGAAAGCCACCAGAGGATGCCCTTTGGCCCCGAAGAACGAACCAACGAAGAGAAGCCTTTTTTGTGCTTGGGGCGCAGCAGAAGCCACCGGGAGGATGTGACGGAAGAGCAAGTCATGGCTGATCCTCGCTTGTATGTGAGTGGGCGAGAAGGCGCGCCAGAACCACATCCGGAAATGATTCTTGATGGCTTTTGCACCACCTGCTTTTGTGTCTTCCACGCAAAGCAGAAAAATATGGGCTTTCTTGATGTCATGTCACGTCCCAGCTTTTCGGATGTAGAACAAGAAACCATCTTAAACCTTGCCGGAGCTCTCTTTTCCGTGAGCCTTTCGATTGAAAGACTCCACGACGTCGTGTCGCTGGGGGGGACGATTGGAGGCTTGGATCTCAACGCGTCGAAATTGGCCAGGGCCTTGGGAGCCGTTCGTTCGAGCCGAATGGGAACGGCGCCATGATCGGCGCTTCAAGGGAACTACTCCATACATCACGTGAAACCAGGAATTCAGGGAATGCAAAGTCGCTTCAACGGCCCACTGGGTGTGATCAAAATGAATCTGAGTCGGCTCCGAGCCAGGACATCATCCGCCAAGAGCCAAACGTGGCAAATTCAAAAGTCTCCAAGCTTTCTATTTCCTCAACGACAAGCCCGGTCAAAAATGAGAATTCCCTGAAAGGCAGAGCAACTGTTGACTACCTTCTATTTTTGAATCAACAGTCTGACAGTCTGAGTCTACATCAGAGTGCCTTTGGGTGCTGTTTGTCTGTGGCTTTTGCCTCAAGTTTCCCAGGATCACTTGCTGATATGATTCCGATTCCACTGTTGATGACTTTGTGATGGACATCCTGCACCAAAGATTGGATCACTGTGTGGGGATACCTCAATCCGCTGGATACAAATCGAGGGGAACTCAGTCCAGAGGTGATTCATAGTATCCATAGTGATCCAGTGATCTATTTGTGAAGGGTATTCTCTTTAATTTGGAAGAACGCTGCAGGGCTTTGGCAACCCACCGGTATGCGGACGTATGTGGTGCCTGTATGCCAATGCGGGTACTTTCAACTGCGCACCGCATGTTGCGCCGCGAGTGGCCCGAGTGGGGTTCAGACGGGGGAAGGCACCTGCCGGGTTCAGCGGGACCCAGCCATCCGTCGTGTTTTCGTGCCAGGTGGAGATGTTGCTCTCTGCGGCGGTACATTCCTGTGTCATTGGCTTTGCCGGCAGACCCAGTAAATCACATCGAATTGTATAGAAAACAGGCTGGCATAGAAGCTGGCACAGGCTGTTTTCGGGGAGTTGAAGGATGTTGAGCTTGGGGGCTTGGGGGAGTGGACAAAAAGCGACAAAGCTGGCTGGGATCAAAGAGGTCCAAGCAGTTGATGGTGCAATAGATAGGATGTTTGAATCTGTTTGATGATTGATGTTCGTGAACCCTGGTGACCAGTGTTAGAGAGAATTGGTCCAAAGACATGAACGTGTTGACGAATCGAACCCTGGGTATAACCCCCTAAGCCTGCAGGCGGATTTTGGACCATCCAGGAAAGCCCGGCTTTCACTGGCAGACGTGCTCGTCGTTCGGCACGCTCGGGCACATCCAATTTTGTCTTTGAGAGGTGATGCTGATGGTGTTCTACGACATGTCCATCCTTCAAACAGGGGATTTTTACACCTTTGGCACTACAGCATCTTGGCAAGTTTGCAAGTTGTTTTTTTCGATTTTCCTGCCTGCGGTGATGTGAGAAGGCCTATGAAGATCTGAGACTGAGCAGATTCCTTGGACTTCAGGGACATCCAACTTGGAGCTGAACACAGGGACTCCATCGAACACAGTCCGATCAGCCGATCTCTGATCCTCAGGTCTTTACTGTGCTGGTGATTTCCATGAACTACCGGGCAGCCTTCGTCACCAGGACCCGTGACGTGGTCAAAACCGCTTGCACCGGGTAGTCCAAGCGCCGCTCGTGGACGCCGCTCGTGGTACGTAGTACACGGGCGGTGTCACCGGGTTCGGCCGAGTCGATGAGGACGTGGAACTGGGTCACACTCGCTGGACAAGCATGTTCCTTTCTCATTTACCTGCTTCTTGGCAGCAGTTGAACACCCCCCCGAGACATGTTCCGACAAGGAGAACAACTCAAGGAAGACGAAACGCGCAGGACGAGCAGCCCACGACTTCGCCTGAAGTTCGTTGGAGTGCATCGCGCAATGTGTGGCTCAGAGTCCGCCCCAAACAGCATCGAACTGAGGATTTTCCTCTTGGTATATTGCAATATTGAGTGGATGACAGAGCACTTCCAGTTGGACACTGAGCTTTTCCTTCTAATCGTCTTTCTTGAACTCTTCCATGGGGCATGCAGTTTGATGCCAGGGGTGAACCTATTAGCCCATGTGTGCTGCTGCTAGTCGTTGCTGGTAGTGTGATCATCTCAGGCTGGCTCTCCAGGCGGTTCCAGGGCTCTCCAGGTATTTTCTTCTCCCATGAACTGAGGCCCTGGATGTATGGAGCAGCATGGCGGACATGGGGAGAATAGGCTAGGGGTGCCGGTGGCGCTGAGGTGGAGCTTGGTGGTAACGACTTCCAGCAGACGGGCTGAATTCGAGCTCCCTTTCGGATGTCCACTTCAACAGAAGATCAAAGTTATATTAATATACACTTGTTGGGAAGATTCATGTTTGTCGATGAGTTAAAAAACCCAACTATGGAGGCGACGAACCGTTCTGAGACTCTGGTATGGTGAGTTTGATTCATCAACTGTCTACATGATGTTCCACCAGTGGCTGAACTGGGAGAGGCCCCCCATTGGCCGGAAGTGCCTGAGGTGCCAGGCCGCATGGTGCGCAGCCCTCACCTGTGGACGCTTGGAATTGAAGGGTCAGTTATGACATGTGCTATGGTGACCATGGTGATGGGATACCCTGGGAGTCCAAGACTTCTGAAACATGGTGGGACTATATAGTCTTAGATCAAAATTATATATACTGGAGGCTAAAAGGAGTTGGCTATCCCAGCCGACTGTGTCACTAGACCCGTAAGTCCTAAGTCACTAGACCTCAGTATAGGTGATCCTAAAACATATTTCTTTTACTTTGCCAAATATGGTCTGTGGTCTTCCAGAATTTATGCATGGATACGGGTTAGAACCAGGAGAATCCGGATGGATAGGACGAGAATTCCATCTCATGGTTGCTAGTCGCATGGTGTCCGCCCAAAACAGGATGGTGGGGAATTCATGACATGCCTGTGCATGGTGTTGACCCACCACATTGGCTATCTATCCTCTTTGCCAAGCATCTACAAGTGGAGTCGGTGCAAGGCACACGGGCTTACATGGGCTTGTAGGACCTTATAGGCAAAAGTTCTACTGATTTGCATCTATCTGCCATCCATTTCCTGTGTGTTCTTCCCAATTGATCCTTCAGGACTTCGCGTGAACATTTTCAGGACTTCACATTCCCCTTGTTCCGACCCGATAACCTTGGAGTTCCAAGCGATTTCGCGCCTCTCAAGAAACCCCATTGGCAGTTCCCACAGTCCTGCAGTTGCAGCTCCCTGCCGTTCCCTGCAGCCTCCGCCCTCGGAAACCGGTGACGTTCCTGCCCCGTCCTCCCTCTTCCCTTCTGGTTTCGGCCTGCGGCCGCCCCCAGGATTTGTGCGATCACACTGCCAGCCTTGGCGATGGTGATTGACATCTCAAAGGCCGAGAGAACACCAGGTCGGTCAAGGTCCGATCAAGAGGTCGGTCAAGAGCTAGAAGGGAGCTGAGAGCACGCGCGGTCGGGTTACCGGCACGCGTTTGGATTGTGCCTTTGTTCCAGGCCTTTTGTATTTTAGATGTGTTTAACGCACCGAAAGAAACATGCTTTCAAACATCTTCTCAACATCGTGCCGAAAAGCTCTCTCATATCTCCAAGCTGTTCAGGGCCACCTTAAAAGGTTTCTTGGGGGATTGAAGCCACAATTCGATGGCTGCAGCAGGCCCATTTGCTGAATGAATTCTACCCAGATCGTCAACAGCTCAGGAGGGTCGATGCTTCAGCTCGGTTCCTTTTCGTCATGAAGGACGTAGATGGCTGGAGAACAGCATTGACTTTGACATGGGCTTACCACGGTACATCACTGTACCATACTGGCAGTATCTCACATTGGTGCTTCTATTTTTTTCACGGGTTTAGACCCTTGTGGTGAGCTCTTTTTTGGACAATTCATGACAATTGTAACTTGATGCTTGGGCTTCGTCGACTTCATGCCCTGGGGTGAGGGAAGGCTTCTTTTTTGGTCAGATCGCGTGATATCCAGAGTGGCTGGATGAAGCAACTGTTCCCTTTCTTGAGGGATCTTGAGGGTGAGTCTCAATCCTGTCGCAGATGTCGCAGATTTCGTCAGGTGCTGCGTTGGTGGTCGAGCAGTTGATGCTGAAGACCAAGGAGGATGAAGTGGACGTGGAGCAGCCCATTGTCAGGAGATGGAGCACCATGTGCTACACTCCCTGAAAGAACCATGGTGACATGGAGGGAGTTCCCCACCTGTTTTGGTATTTGGGATTGAAACTGGCCATCCGAACGAAAGGCAAAGCGACCCATCCACTGACTTCCATTCTTCTTCGTCCCTGGAAGAGTCGCAGTCATGGAACCTGAGCACCTGGTGGCGAAGCTGGAGGAAGCTCCCAGGTGGGTCCATGCCATCAGGGTTCCATGTGGGTCCCAGGTGTATGTCAAGGAGTGCATCGTGTTGTGGTTTTGTGGCGGACAAGGATGTTTGCATGTGTTTGCAAACCAGTCAAAGTCTTGTTATCACAGAAAACGATTGCCCATTGGGTCATCGAGTCAGTGTTTTGTCGAGAGAGAGAGAGAGAGTGAGAGAGTGAGAGAGAGAGAGAGTGTGGTGCAGGAACCCAAGAATGAGTGCAGAGCAGAGTCATGTGGTCGCTGATTTGTTGGCTTTTGGCATCCAGAAACACCTGCCATGTCTTTCGAGAAGTCACCAAAACCCGCTCCCTACGCACAGGAGCCTCCCGCTGCGGAGCCGTTTGGTCACGCGTCGCCTGTGCGGCGCCCCGAAGGCTTTTTCGCGTCGAGCCGGGTCGAACCGAGAGCGCTGAAGGTCGGCCCTCGCGCCCTCCGTTCACCTCGGTGAGGTAAACGAAGATGTGAGGTGAACGGTCTGAAAAAAGCGTTTTGGAGTCCACATAGGAGGTTTCAGAGTGCCACTTCATCAGGAGAGAGGTCAAGGAAGATGGGGAAAGCCCAAGCATTTGGAGAGCCGTGGCGCATCAGATGCTCTCGTGGCGCATCAAAGGACTCCGGTCAAATCAAGAAACCATGGGCATCCGCCGGCGTTTTGCTCCTTTTACCGCCGCAAACCATCGGATGGTTTGGACGTCTGACTTCGCTCGGTGGCGGGTAGCGCGTGGCTCTCAGGTCAAGCTATGACTTCGCTCACCCGGGAGGACCACCGAGGCCGGAAGTTCTTGGTCAAACCTGGGGGTCAAACGGGTCGGTGCCACCCCATGAAGCTGTGAGATTCGGCCGCGTGCATGATGCGCATGCTTTTCACTTGAACAGGGGGCCCCCATGGTTTCAAACTTTCTCAAAGAATTAACATTTTTGTTAGGCCGTATCATTCTCTGAAAGGCCCCGAGGTCCTTTCCGACTTGGTGCAACATTGGTCGTGAGGCATCTCCGGGACTTCGTCAATCCACATCCGACGGCAGGCGATTTGTCTTTGATTGAATCGGCCTGGGACCTACACCCTTTAATTGACCAGGCCAATGTGCTGTAAAATTGTCAAGAAGAAAAATGGCAATCCTCAAGAGCTCAGTATGATGTAGCATGAGGGTCTTCGATATGTGAAGAGAGCCAGCCATGTTTCTGACGTGAAAGTGAAGAATGAGACAAGCTGTTCTCAAGCACATTTGTCTAAAGGCATTTGCTTGGTTTATATAATTGTCGATAAAAGTCGACTACCCATCAGACTGCCTAAGCTTGGTTTTTGTGATGTTTTGTTGCTTTCCAGTCCAGCTGCTTATTTGTTTCGAGAGCACTTGGCAGTTTTCAATCTCCGGCTTTCTCTCTGAGGGGGAGAGGTCGCATGGGTCGCAAGCCTTTGAGACGGGAAGGAGCAGAATCTTCCACCTTTTTGCCTTCGTGTTCTCTTCGGTGAAGAGATGTCCTTGCTGCAGAATTGGTCTGAGGATGTCTGAGGGAAAACACTTCCAACACAACCAGGGTGTCCTGGTAGATGTTTTTACCCACCCAATCCTGGGAGATGCCTTGTAGATTTTGCTGGCCCCTTCTGAAGGTGCAGTCTCAGTCTCTGTCCGAAGGGTCGGTCCCACAGAGCCCGTCCCGGCAGCTGCTGCAAGGACTCTCGGCAACTCCATCACGCGGGCTCTAGAGGCGGGCACTGGGACCCTCGAGGGTCCAGGAGGCCTCCAGGAGGGTCGCATGGTATGAGGGGTCCCAGGTCCGGCCCCACATGGTTTGTGTGGGACATTGGGGGTCTCCCTATTCTAGACATCCAGAATCAAAGAGTCTCTTTGTGTTTGCAGCGTCGTTTGACGCTGCGGTCGGACAGCTGACTTTCCTGTGGCAACTCGAGGAGTCGCATTCCGAGGAGGACGGGAGAACTGTCCGGGTGCGAACAACGGGAACTCGACTGACGTGGGAAGGAAGGCATGGTAAAGGAAAGAAGGCAGGAGAGAAAGCTATGGAGTCATGGCTTTTCACTCTCGTTTTCGCTCCTTCCTTACTCTTCTTGACGGCTCAAAGTGCATAGATAGGGACCCTGTACCCCTCATCAGCACACTGTGACCGCACACTGCGCCATGCTCACCTTTGTGGTTTTGGTGCTCTTTCTAGCGTCTTTGACGGGGCTGGGTGCCGAAGTGCTGAAGAGGCCATTGATGCGTTGGATTGAAGCTCAGCCCTGGAAGGGGCGCATGATCCCTCTCCAGAGGCAAACCATGCACAACTTTGGCTTCAGCAAGGCCTGTACCGCGGATGAACACCTAGTCGTGGACTCCTATGCCTTCTTGATCATGATTTGCTCCCACCACTGTGTGATGAGCATCTTCTTGGCCCCTGTGGTCTTTCTTGGTTGGGAGGGAGCGGGCTCGATTGGGCAGCTCTTCTTCTATCTTGGTGCTGTAGGAGATCTGGCGTTTTCCGTCTATGACTCGATCCAAATTGCTTTGAGGACCTTCGCCTCGAAGAGCACCAGCAAGTTCCTGGGAGCACGACTACCTGTGAAGTACTTTGTCTCCATGGTTTGCTTGCACCATTCACTCTCCATGCTCCTTACCCTGCCAATGATCATTCACTACCCTTCCATGAAAGCCTTGCATCTCATCATGTCCTCCTTGCTCTTCGCAGGTGGCACTTGCTACCTGCTGGGATGCTACAAGTTCACTCTGGACACCAAGAACTCAAGCGATTTCCTACGATATAAGGCTGTGGTGGTTGTTCAACTGCTGATCATCTGGTTGACCCGCGGATACATTTGGATCTCTCAAGCCTACGCAGCGATGAGGTTCTTTTACCAGCAGGGTGATGTGGTCTTCTTTTGTGGTGCGATGACAGGTGGCCTTTTGATGAGCCTCTTCAATCTGTTGATGTTGGTGGATGCCACCAAGGCCGCATTGAAATGGTTGCCGCGACCCCTCAAGCAGCACAAGACACGCGATGTGACCCATCTTAGCTGTGATGAATCCGTTCCATTGAAGCAAGGCCTTCACAAAAGGTTGCAGGGCTTGAACAGGGCCGCAGTGGCCCAGTGAGAATCACGAGGTGTTGAGGTGGGGTGCACAAGGTCGCTATGAATGCAGTGAATTCAGTTTGTGTGCATATGGCCAAGACATTGAAGTTGTTCGACAGCGTGGCTGTAGGGCTTCTTGTCACACCGCCACACTGCACAACACCTTTTTGATTTGATCTCGCGCCATCCTGGAAGCGATCGGGCTTTCTCGACACAAGACATGAAACTCGCACCAGAACCTACCGACGATTCGAGCAACTGCTCGCTCGCTGGGTGATTTGATTGCGCTCGCCAAGGGGCGACCGCAAAGTTGATTTGTCGTCCATGAATCAACCAATCCCCAGCGATGAATCCGCCAAACATGGCCCATCCTTTGTACAGATCCTGTTTGGCCCATCCGGCTTTGTACAGATCCTGAGTCCGCGCGCGATAGACGGGACGGGGGTTTTGAAAAAAAAGAAGGGAGAGACGCGAGAGATTTGCTGGTTTGTTGGAATTCTCACATGTTCTCCCATGTTTTGGCTACTGTGTAGGACTCACAAAGTGAGGTCTGCGACCCCAGCGCCTTTCTTCCTTCAAAGTCTTTGGGTCCAGCTGATCTGATGAGCTGATCAGCAACTCAGGCTGGCCCATTGAACCTCCCGGACGGCCGGATGCCCGGTGTGCAAACAGAAGAAAACTGAAGGGAACGAACATCAGAAACAGCTGTGCGCCGTGCAAAGCTTCAGCAGAGCTGTGCCGTGCCCTGTCGAGGTTCAGGCTTCGCGCAACAGAAGATTCCTCACATTCAAGTGGAATGGAATGCTTGTAAGGCCGGAGGAGTTGTAAGTTCGCAGTGACTTTGCCCCAGATCCAGCAGATGGATGCTGAACCAGCTGAAGTCCGTGTCGTATACCTCCTCATACACCATAATACGGATTCCAACAACTTCCAATGCCACCACAACCCATCTGAACATATCCAAACAAAAACTCCTTGGCGTACACGTGGTGTGAGCACCACTTGTAACAGCTGTTGTGAGAGAGAACAAGGCAGCAATAGGCAGCTGATTTGACACAGATCATTCGAATTTCCCGTTTGCCTGATTTTTTCAGAGCATGGCGAGTGTCTCACAGTTCTAAGGCACACTCCTTCTACGCTCTCTGTGTCAAAGGTCCTTCACCGGCAAAAACAAGGTCTTTGGACAGATGCCCAGCACTTCCTGGTAATCTATTTCCCCAGCTCTTTCAGGGCAGACACCGCTCCTCCCAATACGACCCTGCTCTCTCGCCAGAACGACCCATCGGCCGCGACCCAGACCCCGCTCGGTTCCCGGCACCGGGTGCGGACCCCGGTCGTCCAGGTGATCAGCGCGGCCGGCGGTGTGGGAGTAATGCTTTTCGCCTTGAGCATGCTGCTGAGCCAGCTGGGGCAGCAGGCCGTGGAGGCGGGTGATGGCGAGTGGAGGGGGGAGGGGGATGAAGTGAAATGGGAGAGGAAGATGGAGCAGTTCCAAAGCCAGGGGACCCTTGGCGGGCAATAGGGACCGGCAAAACCACCGATTCGTCGCCAAGGGTTTTGCTCCGCAAGGATTGAAGCGACCTACCAACACCATCGTCATCTACTTTGGACCTTTCTTTTTCAACGGCACACGAACAGAACATAGATAGCTTTTTGTCTTACCTGTAACAGTGGGTAAACAAGAACATCAGACAAACATCACTATTTTAGAGATGTCGGCCTAGACAAACTGAACCATTGCCACCATCATCCACTGGGTCGTTTTCGGCAGTGAGGTAGTGATCATAGACCCAATATATATATATATACATATATAGCCGCTGGGTTCAAAGGCCCTAAAGCTCGGGCCATCGGGGGTCCAGGGCCGGCAGGGTGTGCGGACACCGACCGGCGTCGAGAAGAGGTGTTCCGCTACACCTTCCCGGTGCATTCGTGACTCGCTGTTCACGTGCCCCTGGAGGGAGTGCTGACCTTTGCTGACCAGGTTCTGCAAGGGTCTACTCGACTGCAGTTCAGGTCGTTGCTCCAGGACCTAGGAGCGGAGTCCTTCCCGCTCACGGTACGGGGAAGGGCCTACATCGTTGGTGAAGTACTCCACTGCCAAGGAAATGAGATTGGCCTCAAACCTTTGGCCTTCGCTCCGGGCAAGGGTTTCCATGAATCGGATTCAACCCGTGAACTGGTGACGATTTCGATTCCGATGTTGGCCTCACGATCCATTCCCATTCGCCCGGGGGTCAGATTGTATGCTGTGGATCTGTAATCTCATCAGCCAAGCTGCATGTGTACGACTTTGCATCCTCGGCCTCGATTCATTTCAGGCCGGAGCTGGATTGTACTTTTGGGTGGGAGTGCACGCATTTATTTTGTGGATCTTTCTGTGGGTGGAGCCAGGCAGTAGAATGGCTGCCGAATGCTGGATTTGGATTCGCCATTGGGCGACAGGTTTTCATTGACCATGATGAGACGACCCTTCAGCTTTGCTGTGCCCAACACAAAATGGATCTTGTGCGCTGCCCCCTCAAGACCTCAGAGCCATGGAATCCTGCTGGAAAGATTGGCCTGTTGGGGGATGTTTCGGATGTGACGATCCCGTATGTACACCGATGTCAAGTCAACTTACTCTGCACCCTTTCGCCACCGTGCCAGTCGTGGTCCAAGGGCGGCCGATCATGTGGGTTAATGGATGACAATGGGTGGGCCTTCGTCGCTGGCCTTGAGCAGGTCTTTACACTGCAACCAGTCCTTGCTTGTGCAGAATGCGTTGATGAGCTTGCCTCTCACGCTCATTTCAAGCTTGTACAGTGCATAACATCCATGTTTGGGTATAAAACCCTTTGGTCGCAGATCGTCCCTTACCATGAGCTTGCCGACCACTGTAGGACTCGATGGTTGTGCGTGTGGATCCGTGCCGATATTGCAGCGGAGCCCCTTGGCTTCAGTTTGCCTTGCTCCATTGTGCCGAGGGTCTCATGGAGTGCTGAGTGTTATCACTTCCACCTTCCAAAGGTGTGGCGAGACCAGGTCCGTTTGAGCACCTTGGAAGCTGAGATCTACAATGATCCCCAATTGCTCCCGCCTGCAAAGAGAGCAAAGATCGCATCTTCAGTGCGAGTTGATGCTGGCCTGCATGGTCGATTGGCCAACCCACATGAACCGCTTCCGACGCTGTGCGCTTCGTACACGGTCCAACATGTTCTCTCGGCAGACCATCTTCGGTCTAAAGGCATTTTCGCTGTGCTCAAGCATCAAGAAGGTTCATATTGCTTCTTTGACCCAGCGCACTTTTGCAGTTTGTTTGGAGCTACATCCGAACTTCTCCTGCCAAGCAAGCTTTCGTTAGCTTTTAAGGGTGTAGGGAATGCAATCACTGTTCCTCACAGTGTCCTTTGCTTGTCGGTCGGACTTTATGCTGTTTTGCCAGAGCACATTGATCCTGTCTCCATCATGAGGGATGCATGGGAACACCGCATGACAGCCCACACGGCTGTTCTTTTCGAGCAAGGTCCTTTCGTCCGTCTCATGCCAGTTGACCTCGCACGTCAGCTCCTGGCTCCTAAGGTCATCAGTCCCGGACAAGGAGAATGGCGACTTCTCTTTGCCTTCCGAAGCGGCCTTGATGATTTTGAGATGCGGGTGACTTCAGCGACCACCTTTGTTGAAGCCCTCACCAATGCCATTGCAGGGCCGCATGGCCTGCTACTGCAGCTTGGTTTGCACTCTGAGCATCGTGTCGGTGACATTCACATGAGCATCCGAGAGCTTGCTGCCATCGCTGATGACTGGAACCTTCATTTTGGGAAAGTATGCATTGCCAGATGCAGTCTCCTTCTTCAACCCCTTCGTTGCTCTTTGGCACCGAGTGCTCCTCATGCAGCCCTTTCCGCCACGGCGCCTGCACAAGATCTGACCTGCAGCGTCGTTGAACTGCCTTTGCCGGGTTCGCTGGATTCCTTTGGGGAAGCTGAGACCTTTGCGCACATCCTCGACATTCTTCGGCCCATCGACTTTGTCAAGGGACCGCACTGGTTCAAGGTTTTCATTGTCCATCGTTGGTTGCCTGGAGCTCTACGCATTGGCTGTGATCAAGCCAACTATGATGCACTTTTTGCTGCCCTCAGACTCTTGGTCCTACCGAATGAGCGGCTCTCAATGACTTTGGCCTTTGACTTTGTCAATGGAGTGAGTGAGTGTGCCTTTTCGTGTCCTCCACATCTATGCCGTGCATGACTCCGCGGACACGGTTGCGGTGACAGTTCGTGTCCCTGTGGACGAGCAGATGCTTCACGCAGTTGTGAGTCCTACCAGTGGCTCACTACCCATCTTTTCGTTTCGGCAGTCTCTCTACCATGTCCAGCAGATCAATGGCATCCCGAGTGACCAGCACGTGGGCCTGCTACAGCAAGGATCTTTCCTGTCCCTCCAGCGAAGTCATGACATTAGAGCAGGTGGGCATCGCCTCTCTTCCGGTGCCACTCCGACTTTGCGCGCAGGATCTGATTTCCAGGCTCGCGCTGAGTACATGTGCAATACACATGGTTGGATTGCAGCTGACGAACTCTGGAGCATCACGCAGAATCTGATGTTCACGCAAGACCAATACAAGTTCACTGCCCCGGTGTACTGGAATCAGGCTGACTTGGACTTCACCTTGTCACCTTTTGGAGAGCTCTACTTGTTCAACAACACCACCAATGTTATCTGTGTCCTCATTGATGATCATTGGGCTGCGATTGAAATTCGCAGGAATGCAGATGCTGCCCATCTCCACTTTGTGCAGCTCCCTCAGCATCTTCACACTGCGGCTACATTCGTTGTTGCCCGCCTATTGGACATTGCTCCGCATCGGCTGACTGCCTCCAGTGAGCACGAAGCACACTTGCCTCACCTCTGTGGTTGGCGCTTGATCCAGCGATGGGTGCAACATTTTGATCTTGCCAGTGACTTCCAGCCCGAAACCTTTGCTGGTGTTGCCGACAGATTTCATGACATCATTACGATGACTATGGAGTGTGCCTTGGAAGATTGGAGAACCTACAATGCTCCGCAACCATTGATCCAGCTTGCTGCATTGCTCCGTAAGAAGTTTCTCATCTACCTTGCGCGCAGGGAGTCTCAGCAGAACCCCCTTCCTCAGAAGGAACTTGTTGCTGCTTTTCCGGTGCGATTGCAACCATTGACGTCCACTTTGCCTACTCTGCCACCGACACCTGAGGAAACTGCCACCGATCGGATTTCAGCTCGACTCGACCATATGCTCACCTATAGTGGATGGATGGCTTCCGACGAGATGGATTTCTCCCTTGATGTCGTTCGCATTATCCAGCCTGGAACCTTGTTCTGCGCACCAGCGGTCTGGAACTTGACCACTCGAGACCTGGAGTTCCCCAATGGATTGTTCCCAGAGTATGGATTGTATGACCACATCATCTGGCTCGTCATTCACAACAACCACTGGTTGCAGTTTGAATGCTACCGACGTGGCTCTGATTCCATCTTCATTGCTTCAGTGCCGGTACATCAGAGAGGCATCTATGTCCGCCTGGTTCAGCTGCTGTTGCGCCAGTGTGGCTTGGATCATCAGAGCATCGCCATCGACTTTGTGGACCAGACGATGCCGCGCGATCTCTGTGGTTACTATCTGCTGGCAAATATGTTTTACAGGCTTGGACTTCAAGCGCCGCCTCCTCTTGACCTTCATGACCATCTGCTCACCCAAGGGGTTCATGCTCAGCTTATTGCCAGAGTTCGCAGAGAAGCTAGGAACACCTGGATTCGAGCTGAAGGCCTTCCGGATTTTGCAATCTTTGCAGCAAACATTCGTGACTGGTTTCTGCTCCGTGTGAAATCCAACAGATTCCCTGACGTATATTACGCTGCTGGCACAGTTCAGGACATGCAAGTCGATGCTGCATTGCCGAAATCAACTTCTGCCTCAGCAGCTCCTGGCTCCACGGCAGCTCCGAGCACATCACCAAAAGCCGTCGATCATGTCTGGGTCAATGACCCGTGGGGAAGGAAACCTCCCCGACCGGCTCAGTGCAAGTGGGAGGACTTGCGCATCCAACCTGAGGTTCCCTTTTTGGGCTCCGATGGTTCAGCACTACAGCAGACTCACAGACTACAACTCGGGCCCAACAGGGGGGGCATCGTCCTCTTGACCAAGTCCTTTCTCTCAGAAGCGATGAAACAAATTGGCACGCAGGACTTGGCAGTTTTGTTGCCTGTCACTGACAACACGCACCTTCCACATCTTGCTGCCAAGATTGAAGGCCCCTACGAAGTTGCCATGTACGATGAAGCTGCCAAATTGTCTTATAAACGCCTCACTCAGCTCATTGTGCTTCATGGCAAGTGCACCTACAAACTGCCCGAGCCTAAGTGCAAAATCACTACGCAAGCAATGTGTGAGCTAGTCTTGGAGGT